CAGAAGCCCCAAGCTCTTCTCTTCGTGTTGCAGCTGAAAGGGGTTTTATACTAGAAGCAAGTTCTGCACTGGAACCCAGACCCCCAAATCCGCATGCTTTGGCCGACTGATTTCCTCCTCTACTTTCTCTTCGGGCTGTTTCATTTTCTTTGCATTGATGGCGAGTTCATTCGAGTTCGCCTTTCTGCGAGGGATGGGGTGTTGTCTGTTGTTGTTTTAAAGCCTGGTTTACTTCTTTGCCTTTCCTCTCAATTTCTCTCTCTCTCTCTCCCCTTGTTTTTCCTGCATGTTCAACATATGTCCCTCCTCCCCACCCCTCTCCCCAGCCCCCACCTTCTCAAAAAAAAAAAAAAAAAACAACCTGAGATTGTACTTTTGTACAGGAGGTTCAAATTACAAATGGCAATTTTATGCACTTCGCCGTATTAACGCTGCTGCCCGGGCAGCGCTCATGTGACCCTCCGTGGATTAACATTCTGCTAAAAAAAAAAAAAATACCTCTGTTTTCTTTTTTCCTTTCACTTTTGAAAGGAGGAGAGCGCGATAGGGAGCAGGGAAGGGTGGGCGAGGGGCCCTCGGCGGCTGCTTTCGCTCTGCGCGAGTTGGGTCTTTGTGATATAAAATTCGCCGAGCGCCGCGAGCCGTGCTCGGCCAATGGCGCGCTCGGCGCCGGGCGCGGGCTCCCGGCTAGGGCGAGCGAACGCCGGGCTTTCTTTGTGTTTCTGCGAGAGCGACTCTCCCGGTCCGGCGTCAGATAACAGCCCGAGCCCGAGCCTCGCCAGCTTTCCCCGGCCCTCTCGGGCCCTACCCGGGCTGCGCCGGCGCCGGCCGCCTGCTCCCCGCCTCTCCCCGGCTTCCTCTCGCCTCGGCCGGCCTCTCTCTCCGCCCTCTCCCTCCGTCTCTCTTTCTTCGCGCACACTGATTAGGCTGCCGCCAGACCTCGGCTTTCCGCTCGTCTCTCACCGGGGGGTTCCCCGCCGGGCTGGGGCTGGGGCTGCGGGGTTTGGGGGAGAGTTGTTCCGGGGTGGCCGCAGGCCGTCTGGGGTGAACCCTTGTGTCTTTTGCAAAAGCGTCTCACCCTCCCCCCCAGGCTCGCCCCTCCCGCTCCCTCTCCTCCAATCAATAAGAAATATCAGCTGTTTAGCAGTAAAGAAGAAAGATGCCCCCAGAATGCTACATCCCGCCCACAGTGCCGGGGACCCCGAGGCAAACTGGTCAATTCTGGGTCCTCGGCGGCCCGGCCCCGGGCGGGCCTCGGAAGCAAGTGTGCGGCTCAGGCCGCCAGAGCCTGCCTGGGTGGTGGCTCGAGGGGAGTGCTGCCGGGCTCCCGGCAACTTCCAGGTCTGTGGCCCTGGCGCGCTGGTGAGAGGGGCAGGCCTGCCCATTCCGGCGCGGCGCGGCGCGGGGTCTGGGTCAGGTGGGGGTCGGGCTGGGGCAGACCCTGCCGGGGGAGCTGGGGCATGAGGCTGGTCATTAACTGCGGGGTGTCTCCTTTCCTCCCCGCAGCGGTGCAGAGGGGCAGGATGCCGCCCACCCAGCCAACCCACGGGCAGTTTGCGCTGACCAACGGGGACCCTCTCAACTGCCACTCGTACCTGTCCGGATATATTTCGCTGCTGCTGCGCGCCGAGCCCTATCCCACGTCGCGCTTCGGCAGCCAGTGCATGCAGCCCAACAACATCATGGGTATCGAGAACATTTGCGAACTGGCCGCGCGGATGCTCTTCAGCGCCGTCGAGTGGGCCCGGAACATCCCCTTCTTCCCTGACCTGCAGATCACCGACCAGGTAGCCCTGCTTCGCCTCACCTGGAGCGAGCTGTTCGTGCTGAATGCAGCACAGTGCTCCATGCCCCTCCACGTCGCCCCGCTCCTGGCCGCCGCCGGCCTACACGCCTCACCCATGTCCGCCGACCGAGTGGTCGCCTTTATGGACCACATACGGATCTTCCAAGAGCAAGTGGAGAAGCTCAAAGCGCTGCACGTTGACTCTGCCGAGTACAGCTGTCTCAAGGCCATAGTCCTGTTCACCTCAGGTAGGAAGGAGCCCTGCCCTCTCCTGCCCAAGGACTCCTAGCTCAGAGTTAGGGCCCCGAGAACTTGGGAGTCCCCAGAGTGAGCCCAGCCTCCCCCTTGAAAGGCCAAACTGTTGAGTGGGAACTTTGTGTAGGTGCTGGGCCTCTCCAGGCCCGTCCAGGGGACTAGAGAGGAAGGGTGGACTTCAGGCAGGTTGCTTCAGACAGGAGCTCGAAAAATGGGCCATGGGAAAGCCTCTGGGGCCTGCCAGACTGGGATGCATGTTCCTGCTCCCTCCCTCAGCCCCGGCCTCCTGGGCGAGCTGAGCCTGTGCAGTCTCCCCTACCCCATGGCTCTCTCTCTGTCACCCTGGCTGAGCCTGCAGGAGATGCCTCTGAGCCCTGGCGCTGTCCTGGCATCATCTCTGCAGGGGAAAGTTTGCCCCTGCAGGGGAAAAGTTTGTCTGCTAACCCAGTAGGAGTTGGAGCTCCAGGCAAATCCAACCCGAGGGCAGCAATTTTCTAAATCCTATTCTTATTAAAACAGTGCAGACCTGCCAGGAGAGGAGGAAGAGTTGTCAGGAAGGGGCAAGAGGAAGAAAGGGGCCATCATAACTGTTCAGAATGTGTGCAAGGGGTGGAAGACTCTGGCCTCCTGCTTCCTCTGCCCAGGCAAACACTTAAGGCAATTTTCAAACAACCCGAAGTGTATGCCAACTTGGGCTGGATGTGAATGTTGCCAGAGATATAAAACCATCACTGACTGCATTAGGAAATCTAATTAGTTTGTATGTAGTTTAACCTGTGTGAGTAATAGATCTAATATTAATTAACTCTTGAGGCCAAATGATTTTTGAAGGTGTCTGGCTTTCCACTTTGGGCCACACCTGCGCCTTTTGGCTGCCTCCAGGCTGAGTTCAGCCTATCCCAAGTGGGTGGAAATCACCGCCTCCACACTCTTGGTCTAAGTTGTCAGCTGATCCCTTTGTCATGCCTGAGAGGGGAGAGGGGTTCCTAATTCAGAATAACAAACATTTGGATGTTGGTAGGGCTTGGACCCTAGAAACTGCAGTTTCCACAGCTTGTAATCCGGACATTAGGAGAGCTGAGTAGTTCCTGTGGCAGACAAAAAGATCCACAATCTCTTCTTTATTGTTTGAAGGAAATCTGGGGACCCCAATCATTAGCTCAGTCGATTGCAGGTTCTGAGTCCTTAACCCACTGTCTCTTATACGTTGCTGTTTTTCACACATAACCCCCCCCCAACAGCCACCCCAAATTCTGCCTTTGAAAGTCCTTAGGTGATCAATTAAAGGGCAGTGTCTGGGCAAGGAAGAGCTGTATGGAGAGAGGCTTGGATCTGGAGTATTTTTCTCAGGGGAACTGTCATAACTAGAATATTTGCCTGATGCAAATGTACAGGAAGGATATTCCCCTACCCCACAGCCACCTTCACCCCCATCCCACAACCCTGCTACACCCAGCCCAACATCCCAGATGATGGGGGTGTTGTTAATTTCTCGCTATCATTGTTAGCTCTTAGCCTTACTTACCCTTGGTCTTTCAAGGAAAGAAATGCCTGATACTGTCGTAACAGTTTAATTTATTACTATTTGCAAAATGTAGAGGCCTGTGTGGAGAATGCAAATCGCCTCACAAAGAGATAAAGGTCCCTCTTATCTGATTCATAGGGAGACACACAGTGTACCAATGCAGAGGGAGGGAGTCCTATGCAAACAGATCTTTTAATTCCTGACCACAGACACCTATGCATTCTTTACATGTGGAGTCCTAGATACACACACGAGGAAATTGCATGTGTGTTCTGGCTCTTGGGCTGGAGGCAGTGGCGGCTGTTTTAAGGATGCACAATATGCATGTGTAGCCCCAGTCTTGTCTGGGGAACCCAAAAAGGTCAGGTCACAACCTGCACTGCCTTCACTGAGCAGCCTGTCTTTTCAAAGGCACTTACTGTATTTTTCCCATATCCGAAAGAGAAAAGTGTTTTCCTGAAGATAACAGGGAGGGGTTTCTTCTTGGAGGGACCTGGGTTTTTTTTTTTAAAAAAAATAAATAAATAAATACATAAAGGGGGGTACGAGAAAAAGGGAGAGAGAAGAAAAGGGGGAAAAGAAACAGCTCAAATGAACAGAGAGATCACAGTTTGCATGGCTGCCCTTCAATAGGGCTGTACTGACAAGATCAGTTTTAAAGGGCCACTTAAATCAGTTTCAAAGACTGGAGAAAAATGAGTCGCCCTCTTTGGGGAGAATCTGAGGCTGGGTCGTGGACGCCATTACTAGAGGCTGGGCCAGGTTGTTGCCCCCCCCCCCCATATAATTATAAGCCAAACTATTATTTACAGAGGAGGAGGGGGAGGAGCCCTGGCAGTTTTGGTTTCATCTGTTTGTCTGTCTGTTTACTGACTTGAGCCAGATTTCACCCAATGCACTTGGCTTGGGCCTCCCAGTGCCCAAGTCTGAGGACTGGGACAGTGAAAGCCTGCAGTGCTCAGAGCTGTGTTTGACTTTAAAGCAAATACCCCAGGATCATCTCGTGCTCTCCTTCCCCCCCTCCCCGCCCCCCAGCCAGCTTCCCTCCGCCCAAGTTTTCAGTACAGAGAGGCATTTGCTTCAACTCCGGTTGGGGCAGTTTGACAGAGCCCTGTACACACACCTCATGTGACCCATTTCAAACCTCTTAATCTGATGACTGAATTCTTCTTCTCCTCCTCCTCCTCCTCCTTCTTCTTCTTCTTTTTTTTTTTTTTTTTTTAACTTTCTTCCAGATGCCTGTGGTCTCTCTGATGTAGCCCATGTGGAAAGCTTGCAGGAAAAGTCCCAGTGTGCTTTGGAAGAATATGTTAGGAGCCAGTACCCCAACCAACCAACGCGATTCGGAAAGCTTTTGCTTCGCCTCCCTTCCCTCCGCACGGTCTCCTCCTCAGTCATAGAGCAATTGTTTTTCGTCCGTTTGGTAGGTAAAACCCCCATCGAAACCCTCATCCGGGATATGTTACTGTCCGGCAGCAGTTTTAACTGGCCGTATATGGCAATTCAATAAATAATAAATCAAAATAAGAAGGGGGAGTGAAACAGAGAGAAAGAAAAGGCAAAAGACTGGTTTGTTTGCTTAAATTCCTTCTGTTAAGAAAGGATATAAAAGGATGTTACAAGTTTGCTAAAAGAAGAGAGGGGAAGAATTTAATGGACTGTGAATTTCAAAAAAAAAAAAAAGACTGTCAAATGAACTTTTACAGAATGCATTAAAAAAAAAAAAAACTCCTGTGTCGGTCAGAACAACTTGCTACTTATCATTTTTGTATAAAAAGGAAATTAGTCTTTTTCTTTTTTTGGTAAAATTTTGAAAAATATTGCTAAAAGTGCATTTAAGGAGATTGGGAGAAAATTAGCAGAATGGAGAAAGTAAGTCTTTTTTTTTTTTCCAAATTATTAATTGTCCTGTGTCTATGTACCTCTAGCTGTTCTTTTTTGTACTTTTCTGGTTCCAAACCAGTTTATTCTGTGGTTCTATAATAAGTTTTGATATAATCTTGGCTTCTTAAAAACTGTGTATCCTTAAAATATATGTTCTGCAAGAATTAAAACTGAGTCCATGAAAATATCATAGGAAGACATAAAACTTTAAAAGGCAACTCAAAGATGGTGGAAACGCACTTACAAGTGGTGACCAAAAATTTTAGGTGAAGTTGAGCACTCTTAATTTGAAACTGGAGGAACCACATAAAACACTTAACTTCCCCAACCCTGCCCTCCCCCCAAAAAAGACACCATGACAAACCTAGCTTTTTAAAAATATTTTAAGAAAGAGAATGAACTGTGGAATTTATTGGCAGCCAAGGAATGTGTCCAAGACACATGCTGAGGTTTTGAATAAAAAGTGAACTTTTGTAATTTGAATTGGGTCCCGCTTAGTTCTTGAATTGTTACGAAAATCCTATATCTGTTTGTATATTTGCAAACCCTTTGTATTATAATTGTTGATATTTTCCCTTTTTAAAAAATACCATTGAAATCAGCATGACAAAATAACACTGTTGGCACTTATAGGTAACGTGATTGATTCAGTATCTTAGAGTTTACAGTTTGTGTTTTTAAAAAAACTGAAGGTTTTTTTTTAAGTGCAACATTTCTGTATACTGTAAAAGTTATAATAACTGAACTGTTTGGTCGAGTCTTTGTGTGTTATATTCCAAGGAAAATTGAAAGTATTCAGAAATTAAAATATTATTTGATATCTGAAATCTGCTTGGCTGTCCCCACTCACTGTCTTTCTCATCCAGAAGAGCCCCTGTGAGCTCTCGCTGAGCCAGGCCGGGGGTCCATTTGTTTACTCCCCTCAGTCAGTTTGTTCAAAGGTGGACTAGTGTATTTGCCTGTTTAATTTGGGTGTGTGTGTGGAGGGGGGGAGAAGCTGGTTAATGGTTTATCTATGGTTTAGGAAGTGCCATACTGATATAGTAAACCACCCCCATTCACCTAATCCTCCTTTTAATTAAAAATGGATTTTCCAGGAAAAAAAAAGGCCCTTATATTTGTCACACTTAAGTGCCTGCTTAGGGAAGGTATTGTGGAAAGTATTAGAAATCTTGAGATCAGTATCTATTTTATGATCAGAAAAAAATACTGTTTTGTACATTTCTGACAGTTAAGCAAAAGACAGTTCTAGCAAGCTAATCACAGCATTGTAAATAGAGGGCAGTTGTTTGCAGTGAGTTTTTTCTTAAGTAGGTGTGATTTTTAAAAATACTCTGTGGTTCTCATCTAGCTTGGTTGTTGAGAGAATTTCAAATTCAGTGATATAGTTTAGAGCGCTGAAGGGTCTGTTTTTAGTGTATATATGATAACTTGCCGTTGGCCTGCCTTTCCCCTCCCCCCTTTACGTTCATTCTGTGAGAGCATGACCACAGGTCAAGGGAGTCTTTTCCACTGGAGTTATGTACATAAAAACACATCGACATTTTGACATTTCGGATTGTGTAGATACAATCTGTACTGCTCTTGGGATCCTTTGTCCTTAGAAGCCAAATTGAGAAAAAGAAGAGAAAGAAAGAAGGAAGGAAACTTTACAGGGTGTGCTGATTTGGAAGTAGTAACTATTTTGTTTTGGAGGTTTTTTTTTTTTTTTTTTCCTCTTTCTGTTTTCCTGGTTTGAAGGAAGCTCAGTGTGGGGAGCTTGCAATTTTGTTCTTATTGAGGCTTTCCAGCACCCCCCCCCCCACCATACTTCACTATGTTGTGGTTTAATTTGAAAAGCGGGTGGGTAGGGGAGGTGGAAGAAAAGGGATCATTTTGTAAAGTGTATTAAACTTTGATACTCAGTTCCAGTCAATACATGTAGACCAGAAAAATCTGTCTGATTTGTGCATCTGAGCAGAGTCCTCCATCTGACCCCCAGCTTCTTTCTGTAGATATATACATACATAAATATAAGTATGTTCTTAGGGCAGAATATCGCTGACCTTTTAGCTCGAGGTTTGTCGGTTGTTTATTTTCTCCTCTTGCAAGTGCTATCCATGTGAGTGTGTGAAGTTTCTCTAATAAGTAAAACACAGGCCCTTTTCCTTGTTTGTTTTGTGTTAGTTTATTGTAAACAGCCATTTGTTGTAAATTATTATTGGCATTAAATTATAATTTATGATTTTCAAAGCAAAAGACAGTCCCTGTTTTATTATGCTTTAAGCATGTGTTCTAGTCATTGGAAATCTCTCTCTCACTCTCTCTGAGTTTCAGCAATGAGCTTGGGGTCTGCAAGGCAGAAAAACAGGACCCAAAATTTTTCAAACGGTTAAAACAATACCCCTTGTATATGTTTAGAGTGGCTGGAGGAGGGTCTGTTTAGAGTCTTGAGTTTGGTTTAAGTTTATTGCATTTAAAGAAAGTTTTTCTTTTCACGCTGAGTTAGAACAAAAGATCTTTGCTGCAACTGAACTGGACAAAAGACGAGGGCTGGGACCCAGCGAGTGCGTTCTGTGTGAAATTGACGAGATCTTTAAAAAAGCTGCTAAACATGGCGACTCTTTCCCTTTAAGTGTCTCTTTTTCCTTGCTGGGTTTTTTTTTTTTTTTCCATCTGATCTGAGCTCGCTTTATTTCTTTTCCCAACCCGCTCCTCCTCCCTCCTCTTGGCGCTCGGGGGTGTGAGAGAACCCAGTTAGACGCGAAATGCAACAATAGTCCGAGGAGAGAGAGAGGGGCGATCGCTGCTTCTCGCCACTTTCAAACAAACCTGGGGGAAGACTGAGCTGGGGGGGTGTGTTGCGGGGGGGGGGCGGAATGTAGTCCGTTCGCTCGGCTCGCGGTCGCCCTGCCTCGGCCTTTCAGCATTAGTTCTCTCTGGGCCGCGAGAGGCTGGGGCTCAAAGTTAGCGGGCGACGTCCGGGGCTGGTTCCGCGGAGACGGCTGCGTTTGCATCCGGCCGGCTTGCAGGGACGGGGGCCCGGAGTTGGCAGCAGCTGCGGAAAAGTGCTTGCCCCCCCAGCCCCCGCCCCCCACTTACGTGCGGCGGAATTCCGCCAGCGCCCCCGGAAAGTCCGGGGTGCCGGGCGCGCGGAGCTGCACTCCCTGGATGTGCACGAAGCGGCGACAGGCGGGGGGCGGAGGCGGGGGGCGGTCAGGGGGAGCTCGAGCGTGTGAAACTCTGCCTCGAAGCTCGCTTTTGACTTGGTCCTATGAGCTGAGCCAACATGGCGTCTCCCATTGCACCGCGAGCGCCGGGCTGCCAGGCACTGCAGGGCCGGGTAATAGAAAACACATTGGTTACCAAAAAGAGAAAAAAAAAAAAAGAGGGGGGGCGGCTAAAGGCCATTCCATCTGCAGGCAGAAAACCCTCTTTTAAACTCTTGCTGGCGAGTGAGTGCGGTCCTCGATTATTCTGTAATTAAAGCAGCAGAATGCGCAGGGAAAATACTGGTAACGCAGTATCCCCTTCTCTCTTGCCCCCCCCAACCCGTATAATTAGGAGAGTTTATTTCATGTCTCCCTTCCCAACAGGAGCCAAATTAGAAAAAGCAAAAGTCTGTATCCTCAAAGCATCTTAAATGTTTGAATGGTATAGGGAGAGGGGGAGAGGCCAGTATTTACAGACCTGGTCAGTGCTCGCGCTCATTAATGCAGGGGCTGCGCCGGGGTTTGTGCCGGCCGGGTCCAGCTGAGGCGGGGGGGGGGTAGTGGAGGCTGGGCTGCGAACCCCGCCGGGCGTGGGCAGAACTTGCTGTTTGCCTGTCAAAGTTAAAGCAAACGTGGCTTTCCGGGCGGAGGGCTGGCTGGGGGCGCGCAGCGGCCGAGAGCGGGTTCCGGGCGGGTGGTCGCAGGCCCTAGAAATGTGTGAGCCTGCGTGGATGGCGCCCCTGACAGGAGCGCGCCCGCAGCGGAGGATCCCCTTTCTTTAATAGGTTTGAGCAGGCGAGGCCGGCCGTGGGACAGACTTGGCCTCCCAGAGAGGGTCTTCAGAGGGCCTCTGGAGAGACATTGGATTGGCCCGGGCCGAGCTCTCAGCGGATGGGGGGATCGCCCGTTATGTCCAATTCCAGCCCCTGCCCGGGCCTGGAGACCCCTACCCTCAGCCGCCTGGGAGGGAAGCGAGGTACTCTCTGAATTCCGGGCCTCGTCAAGATTTATTGAAGTTGGGTTTTAAAAAACGTGCTTCAGATGATTTTTCCCATTTTCTCAGATTTCAAAGGCTCCCTGCAGTGCGGCTGCCTAATTAATGGTGAAATTCAACTAAATCTAATTATGCAGTAATTTTAAAGCAGTTAGTGCTGGGCGTTGGTTTGTAATAGGACCCCAGTTTTTTAAAGTTTGCTTACTGTGTTGGTTTAGGGGAAAGCCATCTTTTGTATGGCAAAGAAAGACGGGGAAATAGTTTTGCTGCATGAACCGGAGGGCTGAGCACCGCCCCCACCCCCTCACCTCCATCCCCATCCCTGTCTCCTGTCCGCTCTCTTTCTCTCTCTCTCTCTCTCTCTTGCCCTCTCTCAAGCTCAAGCTCAAAAGCTGAGCGAGGTGCTCACCCAGCAAAGAGACCCATTTTCATAGCCAAAGGGGAAAGAGATAATTTTTCATAAGGAGACACAAAGGGGCTTGGTTGGTATCTGCTCTCCTGGACCCATCTGTAAGGGCCCGAAAACAGGGAAGGGACTCTCATCTTCTCTAATAGAGAACAGATTTCCTCCCCTTAACATCCATTGTCATTAAGGCGAAAAGCTGACTCTTGGAGTTATAAATCTTATCGTCCTTCTGATAACACACTTGTAATAAGTTAGCGTCCTATTCAAAGTGAATTGTAAAACTGCCTCATTTAATATGGCATCTGTGTCATTAAAACTTTTATTATTTTTTTCCCCCTCGTGTCTTGCAGGCCTGGCATTCCGTCGAGCTCTGAGGTGCCTATTGGGCCTCTGGGGTAGGGCCAAGGGGGAGAAAGGTGTGAGAGATGGGCTGCCTGGTTTCAGCCTCTGGATCTTAGTCTGGGGTGAGAGACCCCTGAGGCAGAGAGGGCCTGGGGGGGTGCTGTGTCCCCCTTTCCCATCCCCCAGAGCGGCCCCCTCGAAATGACGTTCCTTGAAAGAAACATGCTTGTGATTAGCTAAGCAAACACATCTGCTTTCGGAGTTGGGCCTTCGTTAATTAGCTGAACAAAGGGCCGTTTTGCTTTTTACCTTTTGCTGGGGGAGAGTGTGTTATTTCAGGAGTGTCGCGGGCCCTCCTCTTTTCAATTGCAGCCACGACGTTAATTTTATTGGGATTACTGATGGGAAATGAGGTGGCGCAGGCTTCCGAGAGGAAAAGCTTGATCATTACCCCCTTTGGAACTATATTTTTCCACCAACCTCCTGCTCGCGAGGAGGGGGTGGGGGGGCAAACTGCGCAGCAAGTTCAGAGCAATTGGAATCAGGCTCGCGGTACGCTGATCTCGGGTGACAGAGCGTGTGTTGGAGCTGAACTCTATAATTTGCGCTTCTGTTCCTTTATTAGCCCTGGACAACGAACTAATGAGCTTTGGCCCAGCACAGTGTCACTTGTATTTATTTTCTTATGGCAACTTTGAGATAGCGGAAGTGTTCCTTACCAAGAGCCAGGGAGGGCCGGGAGTCCTGACCACTGCCTTCCTGGCCCAGGTCGGTGGCTGTGTCCCAGGGGAGCAAGGGCACTCACAGAACTGATGGAGCCTGGCGACTGGGCCTTTAGATGAGGCCTTGGGGGCGCTCAGGAAGGCGTTAGGCCCTTTCGAGGCCCAGGCATTCCTGCAGGCCCAGCTCCTGAGGTTGAGGTCAAGGGAAGCAGGGCAAAGTCCGGGGCAGGTCTCCAGGCACGAGGTGGTCGTGGTGCAAAGTGGCCTGGAGCCCTTCTGGTGCAGAAAGGAGGAGGGATCCACGGGCATGACTAAGTCAGGCCAAGGAACCCTTGGAGCAGCAAGGATACCGTGCCCAGTGGCCACGGGGACTGCTTTGTGCTGAAGGAAGCCTGGCTCAGCAGTCTGGCTAACTGTTTTGGGGGATGAGAGGATGCTTTAAGGGAACTCTTAAGGTCCTGAAGTGCGGAGGCTCCTCTCCCCCTAGCTTGGCTGCTCCAGGCAGGCTCAGTTGGAGAGGCCTGGAATAAAGTAAAGGAGGTGTGTGGGGGGGTGGGGACAGAAGGGGGTCCACAGAGGCAGCGCAAACATCCCTCGTGCCCTGGTGGAGAGAAAAGGAGCCCCCCACGCTGCCAAGTGCGTGGGGGAGGGGGGCACCAGGGAAGGGGAAGCCCAGGGAACTGCCAAGCGAGCGGGGACTTCTCCGATCCGCAGCCCGCGACTTCCTGTGGCTCTTGTCTTGCTCCCTGCCGGGCAGCCTTTGCTAATAACACCCAGGCTCTGTGCCCCTGCCCGCCCCATCTCTCCTCGCCTCTCCTCGCTTTATCCCTCTGCCTTACTACCCCCTCCCCACCTCTTCCTTCCTTCCTGCAAATGGGTGTTAACGTGGGTCTTTATGTTATGTCTATAACTAGGATGTAATCACGCGCCCCATGCCTCTCTCTAAAAGCATTTAATAAATGTCTATTAAAGCGCTACAAATGTAAGATGAATTTAGTGGCGCGGCTGCCTCCCTGAATCCGAACGGTAATGATGGATTTATCAACGGGGATTCGCCTTCAGCACAGCGAGGGAGGTTTACTCAGCAAATATGTCGGCGAGCACCCACCCAAATACAATCATTTGACCCCCCGCGGGCGCTAGCCGCCTCACCCTTTCTGCCGGGCCAGCGCCGAGCAGGGAAGACCAGAGGGGCATCGCCCCTCTCCTGGCCTCTTGCCCCCTCCTCTGTCTCCTCTCGGCCTGCAGGTCTCTTGGAGGGCGTGGGGGACCTGGCATGGAGGTTTGGAGGTGGGGAGCTGGTGGTGACCGTGTTAGATCACACGATGGAGTGTGGGCTGTCTTGGATTTGCCGGGAGACATCAGTGGGTGCTCTCCTGACCCTCTTGGTTTTGAAGGGGTGGCAGTTGTTTCAGTCTGCGAGTGGGCTCTTGAGTACCCTGACTTGGACCAAATCTTAGGTCATGGTTTCCTCGCTGGATTTGCAACCCAG